AGCAAGCAACCAAAGTGCACACAGAGTAGGAACGCACAAGAAGGCCAGCCCTTCTTCAGAACTTTCAGCCTTTGAAAAATGTGGATGAAGTTACCAAGGAAGGTCATCATAAGAGGTGAAACCATCATCAGCCTTTCTTCATAAAATTCCATTATCGGATACCCTACTAGGTCAAATAATGGAAAGTAGTAACACAACTGTTATAAAACACTGAAGGGCAAGCCTTTCTGTTCTCCTCAATATGCCATGGATGAGCAAGTGTTGACCAGCACCAGAGAATTCTGAGTACTAATATCCAGTCTTAGCTTACCATTCAACCAGCCATGCCTAATGGTATTTTCTGGAGAAAGTCATTATTTGTGTGTGTGTGTGTGTGTGTGTGTGTGTATCTTAGTTCCAATAACTTCTATTGGCAGTTCCTCTTAAAGAAGGTATCTATTTCTCTTAAGAATGACTCTTACAACCCTTCATCCTTATCTGTGTTTCCTATTCACAACATATTCCCCATAGTTACACCTGGAGTCTCTCATGTGAACCCCTAGTGATCCTTACTTCCTCGAATAGTTCCTGGACTTTTTCATTGTGTGGGTAACTTAGTATTTACTTCTTCCAGCACAAACTCTAAAAGGAAACTCATAGCATATCCTCTAGTATCCTTCGAGTGGCCACATAAGACTCTCAATGAATCATGTTCTTAGGAAACATATTTAAAATTCTGAACAACTACATAAAGGAAGAGAATATAAGCAGCTACCACTGGTGTTATATTGTCCCAAAATACCTGAGACACTCTGTCTCATGTAATGCTTTAATCAGTATTTGTTTCTATTTATAAAAGAAATTTATACTTACTATTGATAATTTTAAAATATTCAAGAAGAGATTTTAAAGAAGAAAACAAAAGTTAACAATAATATCATCCACTTATATCCATTACTAATCTTTAGTGTATTCCTTCCAGTCTGTGTGTGTTTCTGTGTGTGCACACATGTGTGCACAAATGTGTGTAACTAAGATGCTATATTATTTATATTTTTAATGCTGATTTGCTTAATGAATGCTTTGTCATGGGTATTTGTATTTCATTAAAATTAAAGGAATAAGGAGAGAGAATTCCAAGATGGGGGCTTCTTAAGTGGAAGCTACATTTACATGTTCCCAACAGCAAATTAACATTATAACTAAAATATAGAAACAACACCCTGAATAATCAACTGAAGACTACCTGGAGAGAACCCTTATAATGAAGGACATAAAGTGGAAACTATACAGAGACTGGTAAGAAGTGTGGAGGCATGAGAGGGCTGGCTGATTCCCACAGCAGAAGCCGAAATTCTGGAGGGATATTTCAGCTGTGGAAGGTTCCCACTGAGAACTCTGCAGTCTAAATCCTAAGCTGGGCTTCCCAGCCTAGAGGAGCACGCAGAAAAGTGCCCACATAAAATCTGGCTGTGAAAAACAGTGGAGTTTCTGTCTGCCGGGGAGAATAGCTAGAAATGCAGGCACACTCTTAAAGAGCCAATGCACAAAATTTTGTGTGCAATCACTCACCTTGGTCTCTGGCAAGGGGAGGGCAGAGTGGACTAGAGTTGTATGAGGAAAATGCACAGTTGGTAGTTCTGGGTATAGAACTCAGAGGGCAGCCACCTGGATTCCTGTGCTGAGCCATTCCCCAATACAGCAGAGGACATCTTTCTCAGGCAGACATTTAGGATCCAGGCAACTTTATCCTTGGGGGAAACAATTGCCATGCCCATTGGAAAACCTCTAGCCCCACCCCATGGAGTTCATCTACACCCTGAGGCTCATTAAGAAGCTGACAATAACAATCAGATTGCAGGCAGAGGCAGATCTCTGGATGTTTTGAGTCTCTAAATGATCTGCTTCTGGACCCAGGACTAGGAAAAGCAGACATTGGTGTGCATTTGGTTCTTTCCAAACACACCAGCCCCAACAGAGTGAGCCACAAGCTGTGGATTGATGATAGCTCAAAACACAGTACTCAGGGCCAGTCACCAACAGTATCTGACATTGGCCTGTACCAGATATCCTCCAAAAAACTGGGAGTAATAGAATATATACTTAATACATAGAAACAAACTCAAGCAGGTTGTCAAAATTGAGAAACAAAGAAACAAAAAGTCCCAAATGAAAGAACAAGAAAATTTTCCAGGAGAAGAGCTAAATGAAATGGAGATAAGCAAGTTATTCAATATAGAGCTTAGAGTAATATTTATAAGGATGTTCAGCAGCATGAGAAGAAACATATAAACTATGAAAAATGACCATCTGGAAATGAATAATGACATAGCAAAAATAATGAATATATTGGGAGGAATAAATAGCAGATTAGAGGAAGCCAAAGATTGGGTCAGTGAATTAGAAGACAGGTAGAGAAAATCATTCAATCAGAGAACCAAAAACAAAATACAATTAAAAAACAGGTGGACAGTTTAAGGGAATTGTGGTATAATATGAAACATGATATCCACATCATACAAGTACCAGAATGGGAAGAAAGTGAGCAAGGGATAGAGAACACATTTAAAGAAATAATGACAGAAAATGCCCTTAACTGGTGAAGGAAAAAGTTACACAAGTTCAGGATGCACAGAAACTATCAAGCAAAAAGAACTATAACAGGTCCATGCCAAGACACAGCATAATCGAAATGCCAAAAATTAAAGACAGAGAATCTTAAAGGAAGCAAGAGAAAAGCAACGTGTTACCTACTAAGGAGCTCCCATAAGGCTGTGAGCTGATTTCTCATCAGAAACTACAGGCCAGATGGGAATGGTATTAAGTATTTAAGGTAATGAAAAGCAAAGATCTGAGACCAAGATTACTCTATACAACAAGGCTATTATCTATATATATAAAACCCTAATATGCAAATAGACCGAATGGCGGAACAATTGAACTGGTCGCTATGACATGCGCTGACCACCAGGGGGCACGCGCAGAACATGGCAGGCATTGGCAGCAGGCAGCAGAGTGGGGAACATGGTGGGTGTCAGCAGTGGCGGGATGGTGGAGCAGGTGAGCAGGGGTGCCAGACCAAGGTGGGGCACCAGTTGCTGTCATTGAGGTGAGCCTCTGGTGGTTACTGAAAATTCTTTGCTCCCATGCACCAGGGTCCCGCCCAGCACTCGCACCTGCTGCCTGTGCCAGCCCCGTTTGCATCTGCTGCCAGGGCCAGAGCCGCCACTTGGCGCTGGCCCCAATTGCTCGGCACTATCAGTGGGTGTGAGTGGCAGCTGCCGGCCCCAATCACCCTTGAGGGCTACTCCACCTCCCCCTGCTCCTGAGGGGCGATCAGGGCAGCAGCTGCCACTTGCACCCCCTGACAGCACCAGCCCTGCTTGCACCCGCTGCTGGCACCGGCCCCAATCGCTCCATGCCATTAGCGGGTGTGAGCAGGACATGCGCCATCAGTGCTTGGGAGTGGTGGCAGCGGGAGAGGGACTGCCGGCAGAAGGGGGACTGGGGGCCACAGTGGGAGGGGCCTGGCGGGGGCATGGAGGATGGGCCGAGACCTGCCCCTGCGCCCACTGCAGCCTCGAGGCCCACAGTTCCTTTCAAGGTGCACGAATTCGTGCACTGGGCCCCTAGTCCTATCTAATAATAGATAAACATGGTAATTGACTGTACCTTCGCTATGCCTCCCATTGGCTAATCAGCGCGATATGCAAATTACTGCCAACAAAGATGGCGGCTAATTTGCATACTGCAGGCAGGGCGGGACAGCACTATCCCGCCTGTCCCGCCATCATCTGGGCCTGCTATTTGTGACCCAGGGCGGTAGGGCGGGACAGCACCATCCTGCCAGCCCTGTCGCCATCCGGGTCTGCTATCTGCCACCTGGGGCGGCGAGCGTCCCGTGTGCGACCCAACCCGGGGCAGTGCCCCAACCCCTGGATCGGCCCTGCTGTGTGCGCGACCCAGGGCGGCGCCCCAACCCCCAGATCGGCCCTACCGAGGGATCGGGCCTGCCATCTGCCACCAGGGGAGCAGGCCTAAGCCAGCAGGTGGTTATCTCCCGAGGGGTCCCAGACTGTGAGAGGGCACAAGTGGGGCTGAGGGACACCCCTCCTCCACCCCCCTTCCCCCGCCAGTGCACAAATTTTTGTGCACCAGGCCTCTAGTCCTATATAATAAAAGGCTAATATGCAAATTGACCAAACAGCAGAACAACTGGTTGCTAAGATGCTCACTGACCACTAGGGGTAGACTCTCAATGCAGGAGCTGCCCCCTGGTGGTCAGTGAGCTCCCAGAGGGGAAGCACCGCTCAGCCAGAAGCTGGGCTCAAGGTTGGTGAGCACAGCAGCAGTGGTGGGAGCCTCTCCCACCTCTGCTACAGTGCTAGGAATGTCCAACGGACATCCCCCGAGGGCTCCTGGACTGTGAGAGGGCACAGGCTGAGCTGAGGGACCCTCCTGAGTGCACAAATTTCATGCACTGGGCCTCTAATTTAAAATAGGTGGTGAAATAAAGAGTTACTCAGACAGCCCTGACCAGTTTGGCTTAGTGGATGGGGTGTTGGTCTGGGGACTCAGGGGTCCCAGGTTCGATTCCGGCCAAGGACATGTGCCTTGGTTGCAGGCACATCCCCAGTGGGGAGTGTGCAGGAGGCAGCTGATCGATGTTTCTCTCTCGTCAATGTTTCTGACTCTCTGTCCCTCTCCCTTCCTCTCTGTTAAAAAATCAATAAAATATATATATATTTTTTTTAAAAAAAGAGTTACTCAGACAAAAAAAGGCTAAAGGAGTTTATCACCACCAAGCAGCATTTCAAGAAATGTTAAAGGGACTGATGTAAAAATGCACACAAAAAAAAGGAGAAAGAGAAACAGGCATAAATAATTAAAATGGGAATAAATAAGTACATATCAATAATAACATTAAGTTTAAGTGGATTAAATGCTCCAATCAAAGGACATATGTTAGCTGAATATATAAGAAAATAATGACCCACGGCTTCGGTAGCGACGGCTTCTCTAGCTGGGTCTGAGCATCGCCAGCCCTCCTCCAGGAGACTGTTGCAGTCGGCCAGCCGCTGCTCCACTGTAACCATGTGCGACCGAAAGGCGGTGATCAAAAATGCCGATATGTAGGAGTAGATGCAACATGACTCCGTGGAATGTGCTACTCAGACGTTGGAGAAATATAACATAGAAAAGGGCATTGCGGCCCATATTAAGAAGGAGTTTGACAAGAAGTACAACCCCACCTGGCACTGCATCGTGGGGAGGAACTTCAGTAGTTACGTGACACATGAAACCAAACACTTCATCTACTTCTACCTGGGCCAAGTGGCCATTCTTCTGTTCAAATCAGGTTAAAAGCATGGACTGTACTACATACCCAGTGATCTGTCCAAAAATAAGGATTGCAGCCTAAATTCCAAATACCAGAGACTGAAATCTTCAGCCTTGCCTAAAGGAACACCTTGATCTTGAACCTTTATTATATTGTTTTGTACAGGGTATTTGCTGTACTCATTTGTTGTGGTTATAAAACAATTAGCAAAGAAGCTTACATTTGTATTTATTTTCTATTCCATACCTCTCTGCCCCATGTTTTTTCTCCTCAAAATCCATTCCTTTCCCAAATAAAATTTGTCTGAGAAAAAAAAAAAGAAAATATGACCCATATATGCTGTCTACAAGAGACCCACCTCATAACAAAAGACTCACACAGGATGACAATGAAAGAATGGGAAAAAAATTTTCTATGCAAATGGAAATGAGAAAAAAGCTGGGCTAGCAATACTCATATCTGGCAAATAGATTTCAAAATGAAGGCCATCATGAGAGACAATAAAGGCCACTACATAATACCAAAGGGATCAAAACAACAAGAGGATTTAACCCTGGTAAACAAATGCATCCAACATAGGAATATATATATATATAACTTCTGGAGTACTTTAAGGGAGAGATCAACAGCAATATAGTCATAGTATGGGGTTTTAACACCACATTGGCTTCACTGAATAGATGTTCCAGACCCAAAAAAAAATAATCAACAACAAAAGAGTGACTCTAAATGACACACTTAATTTAATTGATATTTACAGAACATTTCACCCCAAAGCTGCAGAATATACATTGCTCTATTGTTCACATGGGACATTCTCAAAGGTAGACCACATGTTAGGACCCAAAAGAAGACGCTACAAGTTCAAGAAGATTGAAAACATATCAATCATCTTCTTGGTTCACAATGGCATGAAATTAGATATCAATTACACTAAAAACACCATTAAAAACATTAAAACATTAAGAAGATGGGGGATACTTAGCATGTTTTAGAAAATTAATGGGTTACTAATGAGATCAATAAAGAAATAAAAAAAACTTCTAGAAACAAATGAAAATGAACACACTACAAGCCCAAATCAATGGGACAGAGTAAAAGCAGTCTTCAGAGGGAAGTTAATAGCACTAGAGGCCTACCTCAAAAAAAGGAACAAATTTTAATGTTGTCTAACCATACAACTTAAAATCTTAGAAAGAGAACAATAAGAAAAGTCCAGAATAAGTAGAAGGAAGGAAATAATAAATATTAGAGTGGAAATATATGACATAGAGACTATAAAACAATACATAAGTTTAATGAAACCAAGGGCTAGTTCTTTGAAACAATAAACAAGATTAATGAAACTTTAACCAGACTCATCAAGAAACAAAGAGAAAGAGCACAAATAAATAAAATTAGAAACAAAAGAGGTGAAGTAACAACTGACACCACATAAATACAAAGGATTGTAAGAAAATACTATGAACAGCTATATGCCCACAAATTGGATAATCTGGGTGAAATGGAAAAATTCCTAGAAAAATACAATCTTCTAAAACTGAATTAGAAAGAGTCAGATAACACGAAAAGGCCAAAAACCACTGATGAGATTGAAACCATAATAAAAACAATAAAAAAATAAAAACTCCTAGTAAATAAAATCCCTGGTTTAGGTGGCTTCACAGGAAAGTTTTATCAAATATTCAAAGAAGAAGTAATACCTATCCTCCTCAAACTATTCCAAAAACTCCAAGAGGAAGGAACACTGCCAAGCTCTTTACAGGAGGCCAACATTATCCTAATTCCAAAACCAGATAAAGACACTACAAAGAGAGAGAATTACAGGTCAATATCCCTGATGAACATAGATGTTAAAAACCTCAATAAAATATTAGCAAATAGGACGCAGCAATATATTAAAAGGATCATACACCATAACCAAGTGGGATTGATTCCAGGGATACAAGGCTTGTACAATATTCACAAACCAATAAATGTGATACATCAAAAAAACAAATTGAAAGTAAAAAATCACATGATCATATGATTACATGCAGAAAAAGCATTATACAAAATCCAACACCCTCTTTAAATAAAAACTATCAGCAAAGTGAGAATAGAGGGATCATACCTCAACATAATAAAGGCCATGTATGATAAAACTACAGACAACATAGCCAATGGGCAAAAACTAAAACCATTTCCCCTAATAACATGAATACGACAATGATGCCTGCTTTCACTACTCTTATTCCACATAGTACTGGAATACCTAGCCACAGAGATCAGACAAGAAAAAACACGAAAGGCATCTAGATTGAAAAGGAGGAAGTAAATCTGTCATTATTCTCAGATGGCATGATATTGTATGTAGAAAACTATAAAAACTCCATCACAAAACTACGAGGTTTAACAAATGAATTCAGCAATGTTGCAGGATACAAATGAACATCAATGGAATTTTTATACACCAAAAATGAACTCTCAGAAAGAGAAACTAAAAAAAGTCTCATTTTCTATTGCAACCAAAAATTAAGAGACTTAAGAATAAACTTAACCAAGGAGGTTAAAGACTTAAAGACCTGTACTCAGAAAACTGAAAAAAGAGATAGAAGAAGATATAAACAAGAGGAATAATATGCCATGTTCATGGACTGGTAGAATTAGCATCATTAAAATGTCTCTCCCAAAAGCAATGTATAGATTCATCAAAATTCTTATTAAAACACCAATGGCATATTTTACAGATCTAGATAAAACTCTCCAAAAATTTATATGGAACCACAAAAGACCCTGAACAGCCACAGCAATCTTGAGAAAGAAGTACAAAGTTGGAGAGATCACAATACCAGATATCAAGTTAAACTACAAAGCCACTGTAATCAAAACAGCCTGGTACTAGCACAAGAACAGGTATATAGATCATTGGAACAATACAGAGAACCCATATATCAACCCAAGCCATTACATTCACTTGGTATTTGACAAAGTAGGCAAAAGCACATAATTGAGTAAAGACAGTCTCTTTTAAAAATGGCATTGGGAAAATTGGACAGGTACATGCAAAAAAAATGAAACTAGACCACCAAATTATGCCTTACACAGGAATAAACTCAAAATTGATAAAAGACTTAAATGTAAGCTGTGAAACCATAAAACTGCTAGAAAAACGCATAGCCAGCAAAATCTCAGACATCTCTTGTAGCAATATGTTTGCCAATACATCTCCTAGCAGTGTTCAGCAAACTCATTAGTCAACAGAGCAAAATATCAACAGTACTTCTTCAAAATAGACTCACCCAGGCCGAAAACCGACTTCTGCGCATGGGCCACGAAGTTTCAATCGCACTGTACGCGCGCCCGCATGTGGTATTTTGTGGAAGAGCCACACTCAAGGGGCCAAAGAGCCACATGTGGCTAGCGAGCCACAGTTTGCCGACCACAGTGACCTAGGGCAAGGGAAACAAAGAAGAAAATAAATAAATGGGACTACATCAAAATAAAAAACTTCTGCACATCAGAAACCATAAACAAAATGAAAATGGATCCTTCTGCATGGGAGAACATATTTGCCAATGATACATATGATAAGGGTTCATTTTCAAAATATATAAGAATCTCATACAACTTAACAAAATTAAGACAATCCAATTAAAAAATGGGCAAAGGACCTAAACAGACACTTCTCCAAAGTTGACCAAGAGACATGAAAAAAAATGTTCAAAGACACTAATCATCAGAGAGATGCAAATTAAAATAATAATGAGTTATCACCTCACACTATCAGAATGGCTATCATCAACAATTTAACAAACGACAAGTGTTGGTGAGGATGTGGAGAAGAGGGAATCCTAATACACTGCTGGTGGGAGTGTAGACTGGCAAAGCCACTATGGAAAACAGTATGGAGTTTCCTCAAAAAATTAAAAATGGAACTGCCATTTGACCTACTGCTCTCACTTCTAGGAATATATCCTAAGAAACACGAAGCAACAATCAGAAAGAATATATGCACCCCTATGTTCATAGCAGTGTTATTTATAATAGCTAAGATCTGGAAATAACCCAAGTGCCCATCAGTAGATGAGAGTGGATAAAAAAGCTGTGGTACATTTATACCATGGAATACTATGCATCTGTAAAAATGAAGAATCTCCTAGTCTTTGAGACAACATGGATTGGCCTGGAGAGTTTATGATGAGCAAAGTAAATCAGCCAGAGAAAGACAAGTACTACATGATATCACTCATATATGGAATCTAATGAACAAAATAAACTGATGAACAAAATAGATCCAGAGACATAGAAGCAACCCCTGGACACAGACAATAGTGTAGTAAAGGCATGGAGGAAAGCGGGGTGTAGAGGGGAGAGTCAATTGGGAACAAAAAGGGAACATCTGTATTACTTTCAAAAATAAAGATACATTTTAAAAATTAAAAGTAAATAATGAAAAGAATCAGAAAATTATTTTAAAATATTATTCTTAATGGTTAATTAATATAGCTTTTCAATAAAATATTATGAGTGGGAACTTCAGCTTTTACCATTTAAATATTATTATTCACATATTTAAAAATTTATCTTTATATGCATCTTTGATTATAACCTTAGGAAACTTATCTTTCTAGCTACTTACATACTCAATTTATATATATTGAGAATCTGCTATCTATCAGGCATTGTGGCATAAGGACTGGGAATGCAATAGTAAGTGAAAAAAGCCATAGTCTTCATATTCAGTGGTAGAGAAAAAAGTATAGACACTAAACTGGCATTATATTAATAAAAATAGGCTTTCATTGAGAAAAACTATGTGAAGAAATCAACAGAGTGCTATGATAAAATACCATGTAGATGGGAAGTGTGGAAACCAGCTTGGATAGGAAATTCTTCCTATCTTAGGTTGTGGCAAATATGCTGAGATGCAAAGCACAGGAAAGAGCCAGACAAGCAGAATAGGAAAGGGGCAAAAGCTGAGTAAGGATGTGTTTTCAGGGAAAGTCTATCCTTGGCCTAAACCATAGGAGAAGGGCTCTGGAA